ATATCCATATCCATATCCATATCCATAAATAGATATATATATGGATTCTAAATATATATATTTAGGGAATATATTATATATATTCTAGAATATATATAAATTCTAAAAAAAAATTATATTTTTGTTTGTTTTGTTTTAAATACAAAGTGCTTCTATACATTAGCGAGTTACAGTGTTGGCAAAGAGATCCCTGCGGAGTTAACTTGTTTCCTAGGGTTCAAGTCAGTGGCAGCCATTTCTAGCGAAGGGTATGGCTGAGTTCATGTTTGACACTTGGGGTTGACCATCCACATGTAAGTCCCCATGGTCAGCTGAAGAAGTGCCTTACTGGAGAGGTTGAAAGATTGCCCATTTGGAGGATAGGGTGGGAAGAGACAAGGGAATCCCAACAGCTGGTAGGTTCAATCACTTTAGAACAAGTTTAACACCAGGAGGGGAGGCATATTTAATTAAAAGAGAAAGGCCTAAAGGTTAGTTCACAGCGCTACCATCCTACCAAGTTAGACACTCATATTTTAGACATCAGCTGGAAAGATAATTTAAACTGAGCAATTGAAGGAAGAGGACAACCGTCTCAAAAATGCTTGCCTTTCTTGTGAATTTAGGTTATCAGTGCAAGAACTACAGATTCCCCCTTCTCCAAGGTTTACAGATGGAAACTGGGATGGGTAGATAAGTTACCTTGGCATACTGGGCAAGTATTCTGCCAAGGAAACACACAGATGAGATGGGCACAAATGCCTTGACCGTTCCAACCTGCCTCCATCTTGCGCAGTAGTTGGGATGAGAAAAAAGTCAACTCTTTATTAATGATCTGGAACAACCTCTGATTAAAAAATTAATCTGGAGCTGAAAAATCCATCCTCCATGGAGGAGAAATATCACATTTTGAAACCCAGAAGAGCTTCCCTTCGGGGAATGTGGGCACGAGCTTCTTCTGAATGCTATTTACTTTTTAATCGCTGGAAGGAAAGGGAATAGTTTCAAGCAACTACTAACCAGTCTGAGTTGGTAAGGAGGCTAGTACAAAAGCTTACATTGCAAACCCCAGAGATGATTTGCTTTCTGGTCTTGCAGCACACTGGTAAAATATAGAACAAAAATGATGTCTGCAATGAGTCTCAACTACAAGAGAATGGCATTTTCACCTCTGTTGGGAAACAAGCACAATGCTCTTGAGTGTCCCAGCCAAAATAAGAGGGTGGTTTGAGTGGCTATTGCATTAGGCACAAGGGAAGGACAAGAAAGTGAGGTTTTAAAGTGTCCATCACAATATATCAAAAAGAAGCATTAACATGCGCTCTGCAAAAACAAAGAGAGCCAGTAAATGAAACTCAGAAGTTGGACAGATCAAGGAAGCAGCTGTCGGTTAACGATGTGGCTGCACTTGAAAGTTGTCTAGCAATGTGCATTTTGAGAAAGGGAGAGAAAGTCATCCACTCATTCACCCTCACTCATCCTAAACAATCGAGTGCTCCCACCTCTAATTTACTAACTTAGATTCAAACACCGCCAACCAGGGAGTGGCACCGAAGAAAACAGCCCCTCCCCAACATACATCCTTGCTGAACCTTAAAATATCTGAGCAGAAATCTACTGAGATGTACTAAAAGCAAGAAGGTCCCTCAGCATTCCACTTTAGAGAACCCAAATATTGGTAAAGCACAAATTAAACAGCAATAACTGTAAGTACATAAAAGTACCATTATGTCAACTTGCTGGTCTGTCTGCAGTCTCGGGAGAGGAATCCTCAGTAACACCTTAAAAGATGGCCCTGGCACCCATGGGTGCTTGAACCTGTGCCCCAGAGTTTATTTCGAACCAACCATCTCAAAGCAGCAGGCCTTAGGCACAGGCTGCGCAATGCCATCGTTCTGCTTGTTCGGCTAAGCGATTATATTCCCTTTCGTTCTCTGCCCTTCCTCTTCTAGTTCATTTTAGTAGTGTTCTGTTCCACTTTGCAGGCTTGGTACGATTTGGTGCAAGAGGTCACGTGCCGATGGAAACTGTCCCTCCACATGAACCTCTTCCCGCAGATGTTACATTCGTACGGTTTGACGCCTGTGTGAATTTTCATATGGCCCACAAGGTGATGCTTCATTTTGAATTTCTTACCGCAGACGCCACAGCCGTAAGGCCGGAGGCCCAAGTGCATGCTCATGTGACGGTCCCTCTGGCTTTTGTGGGTGAAACTCTTGCCACATTGGCACGGATAGAGCCTGTCGGCGGTAGAAAAGCCAGGCAGGGCATTTTCTTCCTTGATCCCCGAGGGAAGATCTGTGCTTTCTCCGTAACCTGAAGCCTCCTGCCTCTGAAGACTTAGGGTCCCATCATTCCTTTCCCCGGAGAACTCTTCCATGGAAGAACCATAAAAGTCCACTTGCTCGTCATAGTTGCTCCCGTTGGCTTGCTCACCAAATCCCATTTCCATCGTCTTTTCACTGACACGAAGATTTCCAGGAATGGTTGTCTGAGCAGGGTGGTCTGGCTGAACAGCGTTCATAGACTCGGACACCTGGTGCTCATCGTAGGAGCCATGCATCTCTACCCCTTCGCAGTCCTGCACAAACCTCTCTGTTTTTACGTGGACCCATCGTTTGTGAGACATAATGCTGGGTTTGCTGTAAAGAGGCCGGGTATACTGGTACTCAGCACTGTCACTAACTCCCTCTTCTCCATCTTGGCTGGTCATGCCCGTGCTCAACCGGTCATGTTCTGTTGAAGAATTGCTAGGAAGATACTCGTGTTCTGTTAACTGGGACAACAGCTCGTCTTTGGAGCTCTCCTCTTCATTTTCCCCATCCCTTAGTTCCTGCACCTTGTGGAAATCTGCCTGCCCCGCTGTCCCCAGCTCAAAGCTTTCCACAAGGCCATTGTAGTTACTGCTGCTTGGAGACTGGTGGTCACTGGTTCGGTTCAGCTTTTGACAAAGGACAGAAGGGTTTCCTTCTAACACCTCTGTGCACTTGTCCACCACGTGCCACATTTGAAGGAAGCTTGCTGCTGTCAAGTAGCTAACAATTTCCGGAGCAGGCATCACTAGCCGCCCCGTATAAGTTGACAGAAGAATATTCTCAAACACCCTGGGATTCATGACATCAGGAAGAACAATCCGTCGACTGTTCTTCAGGAGCACCTGATCGCAAAAGTAAGGGGAGCTGGCTGCTAGGACAGCTTTATGGGCTCGGAAAAGATGACCCTGGACAACAATAGAAACATCGCAAAGTTGTCCTTGCTGTCGCTGCTGGTTGAGCTTCTGCAGGATGGTGCTAGAGAAATCAGGAAATTCTACTCGAAAAGAATTCGTCCCAGGCTCCATTTCATCAGTATACTGCAAGAGAAAAGGGCACTGGTTTCAAGACGAAAGAAAAGGCACAGCTTTGCAAACTGAGAAAGACTCAAAAGGTGGAGTCCTTGGGGTTCTCCGAGCTTGGTTCTTTTCTTGCAAAGGTTTCATTACCCGGCTAGGTCACATCTTCAGTGCTAGAATTTTTAGAATTTTAGAATTAGGCTAGTTATCTAGCCGGGTAATGAGACGTTTGCAAGAAAAGAACCAAGCTCAGAGAACCCCAAGGACTCCACAGTTCAACCCTGAGCTACACGGATTCACCTCTATAAGACTCAAAAGGGTTTGCATTCACATTTTCATTAGCCTATCTATCCATATGCATACCTACCTCAGCTCTTTCTGGCATATAAGCAGTCTGAAAATGACCAGCTGTTCCCACCAATTTACAAACATTTCCCTAGCTGGGCCTAGCTTTGACCATGACTGCTATCAAGTATAAGTGGCTAGTTATTTACAAAGGTAAAGGAGATTCTCATGTTAGGCACCAGCGAATCATGCTTTTCAGTACCGCACACATTCTTGTGTGGGTCTCTGTGTGCAAATGAGAGATATGCAGAAACAATATGTTCCAAAGGTTATGTAAGCTGAGAAATCTGGGAATTGCAGTCCATCGCATGAGAAGAGGCACCAGATTGGGGAACATGGCTGCTAGCTGTCTCTGCAAGTGAGACAACAGTTGCTGGAGCATGAAACTGTGAGACAGCAACTTGGAATGAACCTGAAGATTGCATCTGAGGATGCACTAATTAAAAAGGTGCAATTTTTAACACCCTTTTTTTATTCAGTGCTTTTGGCTTTAAATAAAGGTCTAACAGCACTTTAGCTTCTTCCCAATTGTTAACCATTTTTTTAAAAACAAAGTGCAAGGAGGAAGACAAAATAAAACCACAAAAGCCAGTGAAGAGTTCTTAAAATAAACTCTCTCTTCCTACTCCAGGGATATTTAATTACATAAAAGTACCACTGGTAGTCAGATGGAGGTTTTGGAGGCTGGATTTAATCTCCAGACAGAAAGAAGTCACAATTCTATTATTCGGTGCATTGTCCAAAGCAAGGAACATTGCTGAAGTCCCATGTTATGAATGGACAATCCAAATTTAAATGTCAAGATATCGTCCTTGGTGCTTTCTGAGTTTGGCTGTTGCTTGCAGACATTTCATTACCCAACTGGGTAACATCCTCAGCGTGAGGGAGTGTGGCGTTTGCTGCCTGTTTACATACAGTAGCTATGTGAAGCCACATGGGAGAGGCTAGAAACCAGGAGACCCTGGGTTCTAGTCCTGCCTTAGGCATGAAGGTTGCTAGGTGGCCTTGGGCCAGCCCCTCTCTCTCAGCCCTAGGACGCAGGCAATGGCAAACCGCTTCTGAGATCTTGCCATGAGAACTGCAGGGACCAGTCCAGGCAGTTGCCAGGAATCAAAAGCACCAAGTAAATCAATCAAACGTGAAGCTACTGATGATACTACCTAGTCGGGTTATGAAACGTCTGCAAGACGCCCACCCAGCTCAGGGAGCACCAAGGACTCCACAGTTCAACCCTGCGCTAGAGAGTCTCTTCCCTTAGAATCACACCCCCAGCTCAGAATGAAACTGACAGGCCGCTCCCTGATCGGCGGCGGGGCCTCGCCCCCTCCCTTCCACGGCCCCTGGCATCTGCCGGGGCAGCCTGCTTCCAGCCACGGCTCCCCCACCGCAGCCAGATGCTCTCCTCCTCCCGCGCGCCCTTCCCCGGCCAGGAGACACGTCTCACAAAGCCCCCACCCCGAGACGCGCACCAGCGCTCGGACGGTAGACTGCTCCTGCACACGGGGGCTCTCTCGGAGATAAGGGCGCCCCTCCCTCTTTCCCCTTCGATCTGCCCCCATGCCTGGAGGGCCCGAGCGCCGGCCCCTCACCTGCTCCGGAGAAACAGCCTCGGCGGGAAGGCCGCAAGCCTCCCTCACATGGTGGGGGGCATCCGCAGGCGATCCGGCCGCGCGTCCTCCTTCCTCCCCAGCCTCGGGTCTTCCCCTGCG